CCTCAAGAGTCATTCTTAGATCAGAAAGTCTAGGATGTGAAGGAAATGTTCTGAATCSAAAGCTAGGGTGTACTATCAATACAGAAAAAGCTCAGGTATCATACAGGAAGAGCAGGATCATCATGAGGACCAAAGTAATAGAAATGAGATGAAATTCAGAGTGTAAGATTGTACTTCAGGTACCAGAAGACAAAACCAAGACTCTCTTTTGCAAATAGCTTATTACTGGAACAGCTAAGAAGAGTTGCCTGGGTGTATTAGCGTGATCAGAGGGGAGTTCTGGGCCAAAGACTGGATGTAACTGTGGAGAAGGCAAGTGCAGCTCTAAGATATCAATATCACATCCTGGGTAGAAGCAAAGCAGGACTCAGACCTTTGCTGATAYCTTTCTTGCACTGCAGAGCCCCAAACTGGACACAGCTCCAGATGAAGGTTCACGAGGGGAATAACCTCTTCCCTTGAAGAAAGGGGAATTCTCATGAATTTACACAGGAAAATGGAGGCAATGTCACCTTGAGGTGATAAGGAACTTAATCAATGTGGCTTATCAAAGCTATGCCCTGGGGAGTGACTCAGTTCTTGGCCTACCTTCACATGGAAAAAAGTATCAGAAATTTTAAAAGAGATATTGAATTGAGTATAGGAGACTTAACCACCTATTTCTCCTTACTTACACAGGCTAAACTTGGAAAGAAATCTTAGTTTTTAACAGTAAGAGTAGCTAGCCATAGGAGAATTGTAGCATCTTCATTTCCTGATCTTCTGCTCATGACACCAGGGAAAATAAGTTTTGTTCAAGTAGTCAGCAGGGAGCTTGGAGAAACTGCAGTTCCATAGACCCTATGGAGAGGGTAACCCCATGGCTTGTGAAATCCAGCTTTACTTTAAACCCAGTAAAGACCATTAGGATTTAACTAGATAGATGATTTCACTCTACTTCTAAAGAGCTGTCAAGGTACCCACTTTCTAAAACTGCAGCCATTGTATCCCSCTTTCCTGAAGCACCTAATTAGCAGTATCATATGAGTCTCATTAATCTGGCAATTACGATTACTGCAGAGCTAAAGTCTGCAGTATGAATGGTAGATCATATTTAATTCAAAAAAAATAGTGAACAATATGTTTTGTGAAGAAACAGGAGAAAGTCTTCCCTTCTTTGACTGGCTTTTGTCCAGCTCTATAATTTCTCCTGTGGTACAAAGTGCTTTGCCGTCTCCCCATGATSTTTCATTTGTATATTAGTAGACTCATCCAGCAGTGACCGTCTTGACCTTCATACTCTTGTATGTTCAAGGCCAGAAATTAAAGTTGTTGGCTTTGCATCCAGAAATCATCATTCCAACAGCCTGAATTAGAAGTTCSCCGTTGAATATTTATAAAAATACATGCATTCAATATCTATTAATTAAATAAACTCCACATAAAAAAAAAAAAAGTTGCCTGTCAGGTAAAAGAGGATCTGCTTATCTTAGGAGTAACAGTCTTTTTTCCTTCTAAATTTCAAAATTGTGTCATTTTAAGGGGCTATGATTGATCACATTGCAAAAATGAGTAGAGCTATTTGCCTGTAGTGTTCATGAGAAGCTAGAAAAGAGAGGTGGCCACCTCAACGTAGCTCAGTGGCCAGAACATGTCCATGGCTGGTGAAGAGCTTCATGTGTTTCCTTTCTTTGAATGCCTACACAGTTTGGATTAGAGTAATAACTGATAGTTATCCATGTTTTTAATGATAAAATGCAAGCTGGGAAGACTCAAGCTGATTTGAACTCTCATGGGAGTTCAGAGGGAACATCCATGCAGAGGTCTTCCAGACCTATGTGTCTCTCTAGCTGCCACCTTACACAAGCTGCCACATTACTTAGAGAAAAGCATGAGAAGAGCAAAGCAGTGTAGAAGATGCTCACGCATGGAGGTGAGCTGCGATCTTAGCAAGCCTGGAACAAAGAATGATACCCATCAAAACCACAGGTGGATGCACAGATACTTAGAGCTAAATTCCTGACAAAAGTGGGCAGGACGGGGGAGGACCTTGGGCAGATCCATCTTMAAAGACACATTGTTTGCCGTGCGGCACGTTGCGGTGTCACTCCGACCTGCTGGRCCCCAGCACAAAGGTGCTGGGTGCTGGGTCCATGCTTCAGTAGGCACCTCCTCGCATCGCGACGGCCACTTTCACAAACCCTCCTCCAGATCCAGCTGCCAAGTGCAGCTCCAGCCAATGGAGGGTGCCAGCATGAGATGCTTGGAGCAGTTTTGCCCTCCAGAGGTGCATGAACTAGATCTGGGTGTCCTTAGATAAGACACGAGCACTGGATGTGGTCTGCAAGACACAGACACAATGGATCTCATCGAGTCATTGAACTGGGAATAGCTTTCAGCACATGTTCCTCTCTGACTGGCGTGGTGGTCTCTGCCAAACCTGTTGCTCCACAACATTTCCATTGTATTCATTTGGTCTGGAAGGTATCTAGGCATTTTGTTTCTTTTTTTTTTGCCCCAATATCAATTATGACATTGGCCTAAGGAAATGAAGATAAAACGGTTTGTAAGTGTGAGTTAGTAAAACTCCAGTTACCATGGTGATGGCAGAGGGACCTCCACTGGGTCTATGCCCTGCTATGTGAAAAGCAGAAATCTTTATTAAAAAAAAAGAAGAAAAGGAAAAAGGAAAAAAAAAAAGAAAAAGAAAAAGAGTATTACTTGTAAGACACATTAAATATTATTACTCAGACTTCCATTGCATGCTGCTTGCAGCTCAGGACATCAAGCAACCAGATGAGGTGGAATGGTTGGATAGTCTAGAGCTGAAAAAATGATATATAACGCCTCCCCCCCCCCCCCAAAAAAAAAAAAAAAAAAGCCCTGATCATAGCAATGGCAGGAAAATAATAATAATATAAAAAAAGGATATGGGATCCAGGATGCCTATCCAATGCAGGAAAGGAAAGGAATAAGATAAGAATAGGAAGGGATTAGTTTGCTTCCAATGATTAGGGTGGGCTGAATGAAAAATAGTGGGCTTGAAGTGCAGTAAGGGCGATTCAGTATGGGCTATAGGGTAGTGTTTCTAGTGGGATGGACTGTGGTGTACTGAAAGACTGGAAATGTGAGGAAGGCAAATTGTTGAGGATAGTGTCAAAGAGATTAGACATCTTACCGAAAGAAATAATTTAGACTTATAATGGATTCTGTCGGTGGAGTGAGGGCCATTAACTCCGAGGAAATCTACTGTTCCTTGTATTTTCAGTAATAACACACACAAAATCATAATGGCTGCATCTTTCTTGGTAAGCTGGTAAGTACCCAGGCCCATCCCATGCCCTGGAGGCCAACGGGCACATTCTGGACACATCTGCAGTATTAAACTCTCTCCAACCCAAAGCAGAATGACAACGTCCTGTCTGTTTTTGATATCGTACCTGCTCTGTGGTGATTTCCAAACTGTGCTGGGAAGTGTATTTGGGAGAGTACTCTGGAGATCATCCTGCTGCTTTAAGCTAGGTAAACTTCAAAGTGAGATCAACTGGTCTAATAGTTTTCTATTTCTAAAGTACATATTTGCACTTTCTTCCTCTATAATATTCTGTAATATTCTGTGGTAATGAGTTGCACTATCCTGTTAGTATAGTGTGAAGGGAGACTTTCTTTGAAAAAAGTCTGTCTTTCAGAAAAGTCAGTCGTATTATTTTTTCCACAAACTGTCTCCTCCTTCTTTGGTTCTGTCTTTGATAGGACACTATCAAAGAATGATCATTCTGTCTTTGTTAGGACATTTAAGATTTTTACCCTGCTCTTGAATATTCCCAGATATTTGTCTCTTAGTGGGTTGAAAGAGTCTTGGTGTAGCCACTGTCCAACTGTGTGAAAATTAGTCCCCACCTTCCCCTAGCCTTGCTATGATTCTTAGTACTTCTCCTAATACAGACTGGCAGAGAAAAGGTTTCAGAGTATTCAACATGTAGTATCCCAGAAGTTGGGCACAGTGAGACACTGATTTTTGCCGATACCCTTTCTGACTGTCTCTGTCATATCTGTGATGATTTCTTTTTCTGAATTACTGTCTGGCAGCACTTATTTCCTGGAAAGGAAAAGTGAGCCTGTCATCGCTGAATCTCATTTGCCATCTGGCTGCACTGCCACTCGATGCTGTGAGATCCTCGCAGACTCCTTGCACTCGGTTTTAGTTTCACCGAGCAACATTCAGTCACCACCACCTGGCAGTAGGATCAGGTGGTTTCCATCCCCAGAAGAAAACAGGCTCAAAAAAACAGTTCTGTTTGGAGGGTTTGAGAAGAGGTGATGATGATCAAAGTGTCTGCAAGTGGTTGATTTGTCCAGACACCTAGAGAAAGGTACTCAGCCCCAGAAGCTCCTCCACATTAGCAGGGCAAGAGGGAGCAATAAAACAGATCGTACTGAAGACAACTTTGTTGAATTTATTTGCATTGTTTTGCAGCCATGGTTCCCATGAAAGGTCCTGGGGTCCTTCTGAGGCCTACGCTTCCCACACCAGAGTCCATATCATTGTACCAAGCTCCAAAGAGTGGCTGATGCTGTTAACAGYGGGATAGTTGCTTGGGCATCCTGACCACTGCTCAGTCCTGTTGCATACATCTTTGCCAAGGACTGGCAGGTTGAGAAGGGTTGATAATGATCTTGTCTTCTAACAGGTCCCTCTGCCCTAGCAGCTCTGTTCTATCTACTGATCGCTTGCTCTTGTCACAGTCAATGGCTTTCGTTTGAATTTGATATTCATGTTAGGTCTGGAGAGGGCAAAAATTTGCCAAAACACCCAGGGTGCAGAGCGGAGGGACCAAGTGCTGCGCAGTGAACTGAAAAGCTCGTTGAGCAATAGGACCTCCCCGAGAGCCCTTCCCTCTGCTGAGAAACTCACTATAAATATGAAGGTCCTCAGACTCGCCACTCATCAGCAGCACAGCTCAAGMTCGTCTTGACTCTCCTGTCTGCAGCCTTGCTGAGATCCCAACTAAACCCCAACCATGAGGTTCCTCTACCTTGTCTTCGCTGTTTTCCTCCTGGTCTCCCTGGCCGTTCCAGGTAAGAGGTTAAACTGCATTGGAAAGTTAAGTTGGAGACTCGTTGGGTAGCCTGTGGTGAGGGTAAGAACTGCATTGCATAGATGTGGGGCATAATGATTATAAGTTTGAGGAAGGATCTTCTCACCTGACTTTGGAGACTGTGATATCGTTGTCCACATCCAGATATCTAGTYCTTAAAGTATGTTAATGTGTGCAGATGCTCTGTAACTGTGTCTTCATTACCCTAAGCTGTCTTAAGTGGGGCTAAATGATAACATGCAGGCAACTGTGCCTAGAAAATAGATAACCTCTTTAGAAGCAAACTCCCTTTAAAGTATTGAAAGAGGAACTTTTAGGATTTTTGGCATCTGCTTGTAGGTTCAGGTGAGCCAGGCCCTATCATGAGTATTGCAACTCTCTGAGATCTGAGCAAGCRTTGTCTGTCTTCAGGGACACCATCCCACCAAATATCCCCTCTGGTCAGATGATGCCACCCTTTGACTTGAGTTAATTCTAGGTGCTTTAGGGTCTTSTTCCCTCTGTTATCTGTTTAGACTATACAGTGCTGAAGATACTCCTGAAATTCTGGTTCTTGCCTCCGCCTTCAGTGAGTCACAGGGAGATTCTGAGCTCCTTGGGCAGGAGCATGGAGATATGGGAGAACAAAGCAGGACAGGTCCCATACCACTCACCAGCCATGTGCTTACCCTTGGAGGCAATGGGAGATCTGGGTGGGAAGGTCTGATGCACCTTTCTTGACCTCAGGCCTTCTCCTTTTTCCTCTCCCCACAGGCTATGSCAKTGGGAAGCTGCCCTGCCCAAAGGAAGGAGTATGTGCCAGCGCCTGCGCCAAGGGATACTCCTGGAATTTAGCCTCCAACTGCAAGGAGTACTGCTGCATCCCACTGGCAAAGAAGTGGAAATAAGCTGAAGACAAAGCACCTGGGGAAGAGGAGGCAGCGTGGTGGCTTTGGGAGCAGCTTCTCATCTGTCTAACCCAGTTGTCATCCCTTCCTCTCAATAATGAAAAAATAAAAATAGAAAAAGATGCAACTGTGGTGTGTGCCGTGTGGTTACTGCTGTCCCTGAGATGCCATGCAGAGCATCAGGGCAGGTTCTGTGAGTCTGCGAGCCCAGCCCCAAGGTCTGTAAGAAGCAGATCTTGTTCTGCTTGCACAAATGGGCAACAAATGAGCTTAAACACAGAATRTTCCTCTCTCTGTTTCCCATAGTGAGTAGGAAAGTGGTGGATGGAAAAGGGCTGGCTGCAATAATATCTACCTGTATGAAAGCTCATGAGTGTCTTGAGTGGAAGAGAGACTCTGAGGATCCAAAAATGAGTTTTCCTTTGATACCCAGGCATGATTTTCTTTAGCATGTAGTATATCATGCTTCCATTAGTGTGTTAATGAAACCAGTCTAGAAGGATCTTGGGAGGACACCATTCCTGCCCAAAGGCTTCTCTGCTAAGATCTCTGACAGCAGAGCCTGCTGAACTTGATCACTTTTATGTGTCATGGCCATAGAGAAGCCAAATTTGGGGCCATAAAGGGTCTTCTTTTCTGTTGAAATCATTAGGTCCATCCTTGTCCTATCTCAGCCCTTTGGTGCAAAAGACCATTTTGTTGCCRTGCCTAGAAGGAAGATTGAAGTGGTGGGAGTCTGTCTTTGTTGGTTAGCTTTGAGGAAGAGCTCAGGTCTACTCAGAGAGGGCAACACAGCCACAGGTGTAGCTCTTCTTCACAGGTTAATGATCAGGGTGGCTTTCCTACCCAGCTTCAAGTTCATCATAAAACTTTATTGTCCAGAATATGTGCCCATACTCTCATATTATGTGTGTAATATTTCTTAATATGACCTCCTTTTGCTTTCTTCAGAAATAGTGAAAAATGTATTTTCTGCAGCTAAGCATGCCTACCCAACAGCTCTGGAGAAACCCTTGTTTGGCCTCTCAATGAAGTTCATGTTTCGGTATCCTAACTGTAATTATGTGAGTGTCATAAGGTGCAGGTATCTACTAAAATCACACAGCCTCAAAAAGCTTCCTTGGATTGTTGGGAGAAATTGCCACAGGACTAGAGAAACCTGGTAACTGTGAGGGGATGCAAAGAAACCAAACAGAGATCTGGAGAAAGTGGAGAAATAGCAGGACTAAAATGAAGCACTGAGGAGACACCATCCAAGAGTGACCAGCAGCAGCTGAAGACTACCATGGTGCAACCTCTAGACATAGACCAATGCTGGTGCACAACAAGCTTCCTTCTCCTCTTACAATAAAGAGATACCCAGCTCGGCTAAATCAAGGAGATTGGCCTTGACAACTTTAAGTCATCTCAGAAATTCTCGAAATTTCAGCAACCAATACTTCCTCGGTCACAAACTGTGTTTCCCTTCTTTTTATAGGCTGGAGAGTTGAGTAAGAAAAATCGAATAGAAAGTAATGGGCATTAAGACTTGGGGTTTGATGGGATCCCAGTAAATCTGGAAAATAAACCATATTTTTCAGAAYATGTGCACGAGTGGAATAATCAGGTGGTCATGAATTACGCTTATTTTACAGCACAACACTTTAATGTAGTCATTTATTGACCCCTCTCATCAGAAGTTTTCACATTGTTCAACATCTTGAACGGCAGGGATTTGAGGGTAAAATCTTTGTCTTTTATATCTGTCTACTTTCAGGTGGAGTAACTTGAGGAATTATGGTAAATACTAAAATAACAACACAAATCACAGCTACAAGAGTGCATTTCAGCATCATGCTTCTTGAAGATGCAGCGTGATAGTAGATTAGATTCTTGTAAGATTTTTTTTCCCCGCTTCTTCCTTCTATATCTTATTTTCATTGAAATATAATGACGTGTGCAGAAACATTTTAAAGGAAACAAGCCATATAGAGGTGGGGAAAAAAAAACACTTATTACACAAATCTGGAGATACCATATTGTCTAGTGCTTTACATTTGAAAGATATGCCTTTTTTTTTTTGTAGTGATAGTCAGTACATCTGCCTTGGAAGAATGAGGAATGCCAGGCATAATGAAAACGTCTGGTCCAATGATTCATGTAAATGTGCCCATCTGCTTCTCTGTCACTTGTATCTGTTGTGTGAGTCTAGAGACTGATCAGGGCATTTTACATAGGGCTATGGACCTTGCGGGTCCATATAAATAACAAAGCAATGACCCATTGGGCCTTTTTTTTTTCCCCATTTGAAGTTTCCTGATATGATGAAGATGGAAGGTCCTCTGGATTTTGCATTTCGCACACTGGATGGCCCATGTGAGCCTCAGTGGCATGAAATTTGGGGAGACAAACAGTCTCTGGGGAGCAGGGTCTTCCGTCTTCCTGAGCAGTGACATTGGCGGTGATTAACGAAGGTGAAGAACTTCCTCCCTGAAATGGAAAAATCAAAAGAGGAAAAGCTCCCCAAATGACTGGTGAAAATTCTCAAGATTTTATCAAGCCATATGGTAGAATAAAGCTGTTTCCCGTTCTCTCTTCTTACATTCTTGACCTCTATCAAGTCAACATGCACAACATGTAACATTAGTGTGATATTTCCTATGTGTACATCACTTTACATTTGTCTGCACCAATTTTTTTTTGTCTGCCACTTTACCAGCCAGTCAAAACTGTGAGGTCCTTCTGCAAGTTTGCAGTTCACTGTCATCTTTATTGCCCTGAACGACACCATGCCATTAGCAAATGCTGTCACATCTCCATTCAAACCCTTTTCCAGATCTTTTATGATCTGATAATCTAATGATCTAATACCACTGCAACCCCAACAGCAACCGCCTGGAGAACTACCTGCTGACAATGACCATATACTGTTGGCTACAATGACCTTCTTCTGAACTTTCTGCTTTTATTCACAAAAGTCTTTCTTCTTATTTAGCATTTTCCTTAATAAGGGACCTCAACAAATATCTTCTGGAAAAAAAGGAGCTTGATTCCTGTCAACCACATGTTCCTGGTCCTCATGTTTGTTGACTCCTCCAAATAACTCTGGGAGGTTTTTAGGGCGGGTCTTTCCTCTCTCTTTTCCCAAATATTATATTTATGTCTGTTAGTGCCATCTTGCTTAAAGATCTGTAGAACCTGGACCTTCTTTAAATCTTTTTTATCACATTATCATCTCCCAATCCTTGGGAACTATCAAGCAAGAGATCACACACTGTGCTCAGGACAGCAGCTATTTCATCCTTGAGTTCCCTCAGTTCCCTTGCGTTTCCCTCTTTTTGGGGAAAATGTCTGATGCTGGCCACTTGATACCATTTTTTTCCCCGTTCTACCTCTTCTACATTTGTTATCCTTTAATAAGTCCCACCAAAGAGAAGTTCAGCGTGAAAACCTCCCTGCTTTCTTGCAAGGTGATCACAGGTGCTAGTGTTTCACTTAGCTTCTGTGCACTGACCTTAGCTTTTCTGCTCTGATCATCTCCTGCTCTCTATCAGGCTTCCTGTTCCTGATGTGCTTGAAAAAAAGAAAAGACTTATTTTAATAGGTTTCTTTGCCTTTTGTAAGTTCATCCTGCAATTCACTGTTGAGTTGCCTTATTGTGTTTTACACTTTGTCAGGCACAGTTTATTATCTTTTCCATTTTCCACATTAGGACACCAGTTCAGCTTTATCTTTCTTACAGCTCCCCTCATCCTGCTGTTCTACCATGACCTTTTCCTTTTGCTCTTTTTTTTTTTTAATAGGTGTCATACATTTTGTCCGAGACTTTAGTATAGTCACCTTAAATAGCCCCCATGGTGCCTGCAAAGAAACTATCTACAATCATTTAATTCTTTTAGTTGTCCCTTTTGTCTTCTTTTTAACAATTTCCCCATTTTTATGTAGCTCCTTTACTGAAATTAAGCACAAAATAGTGGCCTTGTCATCCCTTATTGCTTCTGCAAAGATGTGGAGTATAAGTGCTGCATAATATCTGCTGCAGAGTTTTTCAATATTTTCCATACCAGACAATTACACCAGGAGGACAGGATAGTCCTCCAACACTATCCCCGTGAAAGGACAGGATATTTATAGGTCCTGGGTATTTTATTTGATTTTARGCAGTAATTCTGCTCGAGGTGATAGGGTCCTCCATGTACATGCGTTCTTCCACTGCAACCCAAAGCTGGAGGGARGCTTGGAGAAAGAACTGAGGAGAGCATCGACTTTGTTGGGAAGCACTTAAACATGTTTTGTGGCTTCTGGCTTATGAAACTTGTCAACAAGATTATTGTCTGCCTTCTGCTACTTGAATCTCTTCAGTTCTCTCTGTTTCTTGAGGAGTTATTCCCTTTTTAGACTAAACCTGCAAATGCTTTGACAGCACTTTTGCATCCAGGGCTGACAGAAAGTTTGGGAGCTGCTGGTTCAGCCCCTCCATGACTTTGCTCATCCTTCTTCTGAAAGGCTGGAGCTTCCACAAGCAGCTTCCATAGATTCAATACTTACTTGATTGCTTATCTTTTCTGGATGCTTAGCTGCATGATGCCAGGAGGAAGGGCTAGTCCTGGAAAGCAGCTTTTACTGAAGCAGTATATTTATATTTACCCCTCATAATGCTGCTCAGTTATTACTGATTTCTCAGATTTCACCAGAGCTCATGTCATCCCTTTTTGGCTTTTTATTTATTTATTTGTGTGTGTGTGTGCCTCATCACCAATACTGCTTTTCTCCATACTTGAAGTGTATGAAAGACTGKTTGAGGTGCCCACTGCAAGCTTATGATTCCTACCTGATGCATTTACCCAGATTGAAGGAAAAGCAGTTCCCAGTTATGGAAAAGGAAACACAACAAAATGCCTTGAGTAGGTGGAAAAACAGCCTTGGTGGTCAAATTAAGACAACTTGGACAAGCAGCACTCCTAGGCCATAGAAAGAACACATCTGGAGCCAAGATATTCCTTCCCTTCCCGCTCTCCTGTCCCCTCTCCCGAAGAAGGATGGGTAATGTCTGCAGGAAGTTTTATAGCTGCAAGTACAGATGAGTTCCCCAGCAAGGTTTTGGGAATATATTTCCTGGCTGCCAGGATAGGGCAAACACAGCTTCTTTTTCCTTTAAGTGCCTTTCACCATGGAAGTGCTAGATGGCTTCATTGATTTTCTGAAAGCGGTTAAAAAGAAAAAAAAGCACATTTAATTGCACAAAAAGTGGATGCATAGAAAATGCTAACTATTTGGTGTATGGGAGCTACCTCTTGTTTGGCTTTCCTGCTTTGGTTGTCAGTGAGGAGAAGAGCAAGTTATGGTGGAAGAGCTCCCAAAATTACGAAATCTGCTACTTCTGCAACTAAGAAATTAGCATGTAAGTGACCTGTGTTCAAGGAGCTAGACAAGGTTTTTCTCCCATAAAAAAAAATACACAAAACAAAGCAAAACGTGCGTTTGAGAGGTCATCTGTTGGCAGAGCAGTGAGTTCTTTTTGGAGACCCTAGATCCTCATTTCTGCAGACAAGGGAGGTGAGATCTGAAGATGAAGGAAGTCTGTCTCCTCTCCTCTTTGCATTACATCCACACCAAATTCTAGGCTGAAAACCACACAAAAAGGACCCTTCTGTGGATTTAGCAGTCGGTGGATCCCTTTGCTCCCCTCAGAGGTAATAATAAATTTTCCCTGAAGGTTACAAAGCTGCAGATGTCAGATGCAATAGTAGAAATGTTYGCTAGTTACAGAAAACCTTCTGAAGACTAGAGAGGCAGCAGGTAGAGAGCCAGCAAGGCAGAGCCATCACTAAAAAACCTTTTGCTGTTCATTTACAGTAAGAACACTTTAATATAGCTTGTTTTGTACTGTCTTCATACTTTTTATTTTTTTTCTTCGGAAAAAAATGAGAAAGAGATAGGTTCTTTTTTCTGTTCTATTTTTTAATTTTTTTTTTTAGGTCTTATTATTTTCTCAGACATTCAACCCTTTGTGGACATATATTGCCTTCTCACCAAAAATGTTTGATTTAGGTGATTTTTCCTTTCATACCCTGGGGTCAGATGGAGCTTGACGAATTATTTCTTGATAGTTTGCAGATAAGCAGAAGGCGGCAGCYTTTTCCTCTTGGTAGGACTTGCTAATTGTCACCCTCTGATCTTAGCCTTGACTCTATACTAGATGTTAACTTACTTGCTTTACAGCGTGCAGATAGTTTGGAGATTCATTTATATTGTGAAAACTGGAATTAGAGAAATCCCACCCTTTTTTTGAAAGAGACCCCTCCTGACCCAAGCTGAGACCCAGCCATARGGGCACCCTCACCACCACATCTCCCTTTTGGCTCCCTCTTTGAGGGGTCATTGCCTCCTATGCCAACGCAGTGCCAAAGGAGGACATGGGGACACCACCTCACCACCAGTGCCACAGAGGCAGGAAGAGAGCAAACCAGGAGCAGGCTCTTCCTATGGACTAAGGAAAAAGTAATTGATCCTGAGGATGGGTTATTCCCATTCCTCCCACAAATTACTTAGTGCACAGTCAGGCAGATGCTGTGCTTGGTACCAAACCCCCTTGGAGCAGCTTATGTTGCACGTAGAGGGTAGATTCACCTCCCTGATCTGCAAAAGAGGCATGAGCATGGGCACCTGGTGAGCTCCTATGGCAAGGAGAAGGGTTTAGGGCTCAATTCCCATGGCTGATTGCAGAAGTTAGCTTTAGGATGAAATTTCCCCAGTTGTGGCTGACAGAACCCCTCCAAGTTCCCTCTGCTTTTTGCAGATAAATGAACCACACAGGGCACGCACAGAAGTCATATCTGGCCACATTTACTTCACAGGAGCCAACACCATTGCTGTCATGTAGGGTATGAAACAATGTGAGCATCTCCCTTCTGCCTTCTGCTCTGCTCTCCTGCAATCATTTCCCTTTCCTTCGTAGGGGCTGGCAGCAGAACCTCTTCCCACAGGCTGCGTGGAAAGTCCATTGGTCCGTGAGGGTGCATGTCTTAGAGCAGTACCCTTTGCAGATGTTCTTTGGTTGCCCATAGCCTGCAATGGGTGCAAGGGAGAGATGTGCTATAAGAGAAAATGTCCAATATCTTAGGAGGGTAGATAGCCTGGAAAGTTACTTCCCATCTAGGATAGGATCCTTGTTTTCTATCTCCATCAAACCTAGGGGAGTGCTGGACACCTTCATCCCTATGAAGTTGTCTACTCTGCAGCTTGCTGGCGAGATCCCTTGACGTGAATGCCAAGAAATAGGTATTTATCGTGTGGTGATCACTCARGTGAGCTGTGCAAGCTAGGTCATGGGTTTGGGTGTCTTTTGAAGCTGAAACTGCCCTTCCCTCTGGCCTCAAACCCATGTTAAACCCTTTTAGCCCTGGGATGAAGTGGAAGATGCTAGTGCTTGTGATGAGTTGGGGCAGAAAGCCATATGTGGAGGGGATATTTTGGGAGGGAAAAGGGAGTCCTGCCATGCATGAGTTTTTTCAGGGCTCTTCGGGCAGTTGTGGAGAGAGATCCACTGGCCAAATGCCCTAGAGGCTGCATATGAGAATTAACAGAAAAGCAATGAGAAAAGAGAAGACCAGGAGATGCCTGTGTCCCCAGAACATCCTTTGTGCCTATGAATGTCTGAAGCTCAGAGACAACTGAACACCAAAGCCCTCAGGAAATGTTCTGCCCGGGGCTGTCACCAGACCCATCACTCAACCTCCAGAATGAGCCCTGCTCTGTCCCCAGCACGAGCAGCCTCATACCTGGGGTGGCCACGGAGAAGAGCAGGAACACCACAAACACTGCGCCGAGGAGCTTCATGCTTGGAGGTGAGCTGAGATCTCAGTGTTCCAGGAGCAAAGCAGGTCTGAGAGAGACACACAAGGCCTGGCTTTTATAGGGCAGTCCCAGACAAGCGTGAGCGGGAYGGGGGAGGACCTTGGGCAGATCCATCTTCAAAGACACATTGTTTGCCGTGCGGCACGTTGCGGTGTCACCCCGACCTGCTGGGCCCCAGCACAAAGGTGCTGGGTGCTGTGTCCATGCTTCAGTAGGCATCTCCTCGCGTCGCGACGGGCGCGCTCCCAAACCCGGACATGCAGGCACGCGTCTCCCTGCTCCAGATCCGGCTGCCGGCACGCACGGAGCCGCCAAGGGCAGCTCCAGCCAATGGAGGTGCCAGAACGAGGTGCTTGGAGCAGTTCTGCCCTCCATGGGTGCGTGAACTAGGTCTGCACRTCCTGCGGATAAGACACGAGCGCTGGACACTGTCTGCAGAGCACGGACACAATGGATCCCGTCGAGGCATTGAACTGGGAATAGCATTCAGTGTGCGTTCATCTCTGACCGGTGTGCTGATCTCTGCCAAACTTGATGCTCTACAACATTTCCATCGTTGGAAACATCTGGGTGTTTTGCTGGGCTCTCTTCAAAAAGAAGCATGGTTCTATTAAAAGAGATTTACACCACACGTACATGGAAACCAGGTAATCACCCAACACACCACATCTCATCAGAGGTGTCTTATGAGTCCCTCACTATCCTATTTAATAATTGTCATGGTGGTCTAGACTGTTCTTACTCAGGTAACAAAGTTGAAAGACACTTCAGAGCTTTAGAGGATCAGCATTCTAGGGCTCGAAAGAGATGATAAAATAAATATATTATGATAAAGTAATTGGGAGAACTGCCTTGTCTACTCAAATGAGAATATTCAACTGCAGAATACAAAACAAGGAATTTTGGACTATATAGCAGATACAGCTAAAAAAATATGTTTCAGTGAATCACAAGCCCAAATGAGCAATGCTATGGTGTTGGGAGGACAGGGCAAGTTGTCATAGATGCCTAAACAGAAGCTGAGCTTGAAACATATGGGAAGTAACCATTGCACTGTGCACCTATCACTAAGTACATCCTTACATGTATGAAAGGGGTTCAGAAAAGAAAGTGATAGGAGGTCAAGAAAATGTGACATAAAAGAAAATACTACAACAAGGGGAATAATGGTATTTATGAAAATAAAGACATTGAAAACATTCCACAAATCCATAAAACGTATTTTTTTTCTGTGTCCTGCGTCTACAGGATGTCAATGACTACAGTTGCAGCAAGAGGCAGAGCACAGATGTATTTTATAATGATAAGGACAGACAGATAAGGAAGAGCATTGTAATGATAGTAAGCACTGGAAAGGTTGTATGAGGAGGCAAACTCTAAGAAGTTGCTTAGCATTCAACAAAATTCTCCCACTTCTAAAAATCTAAAGTTCAGTAACTTCTTTAATCAAGATTTTTATCTAATTTTGAGTTGCACTTGCTTCATTAGATTATAATTTTTTTWAAAATATATTTATCATTTTAAACTTGCAGGGATCCTGTGGCAACAAACTCCCCATTGCAGTTACATGCAGCATGGAAAAAGACTTTCTTTAGTTATTTTTTCAATAAATGGAAAATATTGAAAAATACATTTTTCAATGAATTCATTAGCATGGCATCTCTCCCACTTCCTCACTTAACAAAAATGGAGAACCACAGTTCTCCCTTCTTAGACCTGTCGTGATTTTTGCATCCTCCTGGTACATCTCCATATAATTGTCTCTTTCCCGAGAAGAAGAATGCCAGTATATTTAATATCTAATTTTATGGAACAAGTCCCCTATTTTGCCACCTGTCTTTTAGTTTCCTCTTGCCCTGCTGTGGGCCATCAGGGATAGAGCTCAACAGTGTTGTTGCATTCTAGAAACTGAGACAGATTTAGACAGTGGTCCAAAGTTCTCTCTATTTTTTCCCTCASTAGCTTTCCTCACATTTCTTAACATACATTGTTCCTTTTTTTTATTATTATTATTTGATATTTTCAGAGTATCATCTTCAAGGGCTTCAAAATCTACCTCCTAAATGGCTTCAGCTAATACAGACCTGTAATATGTACAGAGATTATAGAATTTTCCTATTCACAGCTGTGAACTAACTGACATTGAATGAAAYCTGTCATTTTCCTGCCCTGTCACTCCGTGCTGTAAGATCCTTCTGACAGTCTTTCCACATCTAGTCTTGATGGCACCTGCTAGTTTTGCATGAGCTGCAGCTTCTGTCCCATCACTTGTTGCCTCTTCTTCCAGGCTGTTTATAAAGCCGTTAAACAGCCCAGCTAAAAGGGTCTGGACAAGGTCCTTTGCAGATGCTTGAAACCCTGGTGTGTTTGAGACAAGGAGAATGATGATCGAAGTGCCTGCAAGCAGTTGGCCTGTTCAGATCCTTGGGGAAAGGCCTGCAGCCCCAACAGTTCCTTCCCATCCTTGCCCCAGGGCAACACAGGTTGCACTGAAGACGGAGTTGGCTGAATTTATTTGCATGACTTTGCAGTCACAAATTCCAAGATTGTTAGGGATAGCACATGGACCCCAGGGCCCTTCGCAGGCCTGCCCTGCTCACAATGATGTMCCTTTCCCCATAGCTGGCCCACACAATGCAAGCTGAACAAACAGTGACAAGAATAGACCTCGGAGGAAGAGTTACTGGGGCATCTTGGCTGCTTCTCAGCTTTGTTGAGCTGCATTTCTKCCAAAGAAAGGCCTGAAAGGCAGTGATACTGATCTTGTTCTCCCCTCATCATTACACCTGCAGATCTCCATCAGGTCCTTCTGACCCATCTGCTCAGTCTTGCTATTGGCAATCCCTATTCATTTGTGCTGGGCATTGAAACAGTATCTGATATTGGGCAATCAGATCTGAGGGACGGAGGCTCCTGCCGACAAACTTGGGTGGATGCGGGAAGTCCTGGTGCTTGTACCATGACTGTGTGTCCAACTGCAAARTGTGTGACCTTGGATGAATTCTCATATTTTCCCAAAATCCTCCACTCTGCAGGGAAATTTGCTCTATAAATACCCGCAACCCCAGCCTCGCTGCATACCAGCTCTTCGGTCCAAGATCTCTCTGGCTCCTCTCTCCAGCTCTGCTGAGATCTCAGCTCAATTTCAGCCATGAGGTTCCTTTACCTCATCTTCGCTGTTTTCCTCCTGGTCTCCCTGGCCGCCCCAGGTAAGATGGGATATTGGGGGAGATGAAAATGAGGGGACTGGATGTGAGTGGTCTGGAGATTAGCTGGGATTCATTTCATGAAACTTTAGCTCTCTAAAATACAGACATCACTATCTGAGGTCATTGCTATTACCTGGTCAAATACTTTGGTTATTTCTCTTAAGGCACTGTGAAATAACAACTGTCTCAGAAAAAAAGTCAAGCTTTGGGTAGGAATAGTTGAGGTTAAAACTTTAGTATATAGTTCTTATGTATTTGAGTGTGCAGGTTATGTCCAGACTAGTAAGTGAAGAAGACCGTGAAACATGTAGAGGACTGGAACTTGATTCTGTGCTATTTGACTTTGAGTAGTGACCCTGGCACATTTCTGGCCTGGGCTGGACAATCTCCTTGATGATGCCCTAGGCTCAGCCTGGGRGTGAGCTCAGGCCAGGCAAATGCTAGACAAGAGCATGGATGTGGTCACCTGTCTTGGGAACTAAAGGAACTTTATATTAAGAGAGGACTGTTTTGTGCAAGTTGGTTTCTGTGTCAAGAAAGAGTCTGGGCACAGACCTCTGCAAGAGTCAATAGATCATTCTGGGTTGTGACTTCCCAGATGGGAAGTAGATGCACAAGCCTTTGTGCTCTTCAAGGTTCCTCCTGCACCACTGGTTAATGCAGAGGAGAGACAGAGGCAGGAGGGGTATGAAAGGAAAAGCTTAAGGGAAGACAAGACAGCTTCTGTCCCTGGTTCTGGCAGGACATCCCTGCGAGGAAGGTCCCATACCACTCACCAGTCCCTAACTTACCCTTGGAAGCAACAGGACATCTGGGTGGGAAGGTCTGATGCAGCTTTCCTGACCCCAGACCCTCTCCTTTTTCCTCTCCCCACAGGCTATGCCAGTGGGAAGCTGCCCTGCCCAAAGGAAGGAGTATGTGCCAGCGCCTGCGCCAAGGGATACTCCTGGAATTTAGCCTCCAACTGCAAGGAGTACTGCTGCATCCCACTGGCAAAGAAGTGGAAATAAGCTGAAGACAAAGCACCTGGGGAAGAGGAGGCAGCGTGGTGGCTTTGGGAGCAGCTTCTCATCTGTCTAACCCAGTTGTCATCCCTTCCTCTCAATAATGAAAAAATAAAAATAGAAAAAGATGCAACTGTGGTGTGTGCCGTGTGGTTACTGCTGTCCCTGAGATGCCATGCAGAGCATCGGGACAGGTTCTGCGTAGGGCACTCTTGCTATGAAAATACTAGTAAACCACCCAGAGGTGTACCACAGAGACACAAATAGGCTCATGGACCTCTTCCCATGGCTTTTATGTTCTCTTTGTGCTAAAGTTCCAGGACTGCCCAATTCTGCTCTCTTTTTTTCTGAAGATAATTTCTCAGAACTTGGTTCCTCCTCTGCCTAGCTCTGCCTGGATACGGTTGAGCTGGAGAAGAACCAAGAATGTAACCAAGGATCAGCAAAAACTACACAGGCCATGTAGGAGCTTCAGAGAGGAGCAAACCTTGCTGAGGTCTGACACTTCCTGTGATAGGAATGTATTCATGTGAGGAATTTACCTGACTGCAGGATGAGGTTGGCCACACYGAAGAATATTCCTCAGATTATTAGTAAATATATAGAAAGCATCTGTGAACCACCACAAGGAACTCCTAAAACACAAAACTGTCACAAGAAGAGTCACGGTTTACCTCTTTTATACCCTTCCTTCAATATCTATTTTGTTATTGCAAGAAGCAGAGTTCCGGGTTAGATGGAGTTTTCTTTGGTCCAATCCTGTTATTCTCCTTGTTATTTTTTCAAGTAGATTCTTTTTCTGCAGAGATTTTCACCATCAGATTTGTGGTCTCCCAATTTTATACCTGTCTCGGAGAGGCAACCCCACTTCTAGGCTTCTCATTAAGAAATGTAATGCTCACTACCATGTAGCTTGAAATGTGAAGAAGTGGGTATTGCACTAGTATGTGGAGGTGATCAGGGACCAAGAGTGAAACAACTTCTGCAATAAAAAAGTGCTACACTTAGTCCTGCTCTTGCTCATCTGAAGACGGACTGCATGACATTATCTGACATCATTTGGGGGCTCACAGGCTGTTGTTTTTCCAGGAACGAAGCTGCTCTGAGTTAATGACAGGCATCACTAARCTATCCAGTTGTGTTGTTTTTGGTAAAGAAGTCAAGGACTGGAAGAGCCATAAGGAGTGAGTGATCATTTACCCTTCTAGAGAGAGATCAGCAAGAGAGACGCAGTGGGAATACAGGGGAATTTAATCTCTGTGCTCTTCTACCTTCTGTCCTCTCTCTGTATAACCTTTTACATTCCAATGCAATGGACACACACAATGCAAAAAGACAGAAAAACTGAAAGTGGACCACATGGACTGGAATCTGCTCTGCTATTTAGTATTGTCCAGGTTGGGTTTGAAGGATTGCATGGAAGGCACACAGTATCCTGGTGTTTGTCCTTTCATGCCCTTGTCCACCTGACAATCTCTAAGTTAGATAAGTTTAAGTTGGAGATTAGGGAAAAATAAATGTAGATTTTTATGTACAGAGATCAACATTCCTGAACTGAGATATTCTGTGACAGCTTGAGACATCTCTATGGTGCTGGCAGATGTGGCATGGGACCTAAGAGAGACCCTTTCCCTCCAAACACACCTGGATGCTAGGTTGGACATCTCAAATTTGCCTCAGGCTAAACTAATGACCTCACTTTCAGACTTCCAGATTTATTTTTGTATGAAACTTACTTAAGCTTGATAACAACTTGCATTACTGTTGCGTCTCAGATCCTTGTGTGCAGTCTAGATACTCTCCTATATGTTTTGGCATACAAATGGGAATGGATGAGGTGACATTKTCCAGTGTAGTACCAATCCCCTCAAGTCTGTGAGGGTACAAAGAAGGCTCTCAAACTTGTCACTGAGGGGCTCTCCAGCACAACTGTTCCTACAAACCRACACCAAATCCCCTGATCCAGAAACATACCCCATGGTTTCAGTCCTGACAGTCCCATTTTTATGGGTTATGAATTTTGGCAGACAGATCAAGAGAGGCCTGTTCCCTGAGGTAGAAACGTCTGCATAAACTGCATGAGATGTCATCAAAGAACCAGTGAAAAATGGGCGCAGAGCGGATGTCYTATTGTCAGATGGCCACTGGGTTGGAGTGACATAACACCTCACTAAGTAGCAAACAATATATCCTTGGACAACAGAAAAGTCACGCTCCTCCCTAACACCATCCCTTCTGTCAAGAAATATCTATAAATATCATGATCTCCAGTTTTACACTTAGCAGCAGATTCAAGCTCTCCYTGCAACACTCAGTCCCAGACTTTCTGTGATCCTCGTGGATATCCAGCTATGAGGATGATCTACGTTGTGTTTGCTGCCCTTCTAATGGTGTTAATAGCCACCCCAGGTAAGGTGTTAAATTATAAGGAGTAGAAATGAGAGATAATAGTGAACCATGAAAGAACAAAGGCTTCTGCAGGACACTTGGTACGGGTGGAAGGAACACAGAGACAGCTTGGTTGGGTTGAGCGCATCAGATTTCAGAATTGGAGTTCAGCTCCYGAATCCCACCACCCTAAATTTAGACATCTACCATTTGGGGGCATCTGTGTGAGCTGGGTGCCTCTATGTCCATCGCAGTCACTGGAGATGGATTGTGCAATCAATACAGTCAGAACAGTTCAGCTCATCTCAAACTAAACGCTCCGACTATGACTGCACTAATTAATTGAGCAGTACCAAGGCTGAGGTCTGGACTTGACATTTGAACCAAGCCTTCCACAGCATTTAATCGTCCGCCCTTTCACTGACTCAGTTTTGCTCTTGGCCAAATAGCACAGCCTCAAACCATTCCCAAGAATAATTCAGGAACTAACACTGRTTGAGGCGCATTCCCAATTATCAGCGTGGATATCCTTGTTTTAAGGAAAGAGAAAGTTTATGGCATGGATATGCGCTTTCTGTGCCACAGATCATGGTGAATTAACCAGTTCAGACATGATTCTCTCTCCTTACAGGCAAAGGCCAGCCGAAAAAGAGCTGCAATAGGTATTGCTCAAGGACGTGTGCTAAAGGGCAGAAAGGGGAGCATGCCGAAGGCTGYGGGAAGAGGTATTGCTGCATGTTGCAGAGGAAAAAGAAATAAGAGCAGAACAGAGACTTTAAGTGATGAAGGAAGGAAGGAAGGAGATGATGACACTTACAGCAGTTTCTTCTTGTTTGGTGGAAATGGAATTTGCGACTCATTAAAAAGGAGCAAGTCTCACCCTGAAGCAGGTTGTGTAGTTTATTCTCTTGCAATAAATCATGTAGAGAGCATTGCAGAAGTTTTTGTAAGTCTTGTAGATAAGTTCCTATTTTGTATGATGACATGGTCATCGCTGCTCTTTCTCATATCAGCCTTACCACAGTAGGGGTCATGAGTGAGTTTCTTGATTGTCTGTTGAATGTTGTCCAAAAAAAAGGTAAGTTACCTATTTTTGTGGGGTATTTTCAGTGCACTTCCAAAATACAGAGCTAATTTTGTGCATGGGCAAAAGAGTGAAAATCCGTGTCTTGAACATGACATCTGTGGGACTGTGAACAAGGGACAGCAAAGGGTGAAGCATCTTCTAACTTAACACTTCATATCCCATGATGTTCCCTTCCATTCCCTCCCCACTTTTTCTMTATATCATTGCTTTGTAAAATGTTTGGTGCTATTCTTTGCTCTGCAAAGTGCTTGCAGAGGCACTTTGTACACACGAGCTCCACGGGGCTGGGTAACTGGAGAATTAAGCCTTGAGGAGAGACACACAATCTGTCTACATCTACGGTAACAGATTGGACCTAGTCAGGGCTGGTGTGACATAAAAGCTGTGCTGAAGCTTCCGAATATGCAAGTTSCCCCTGGAAATTAAGTATTGCCCTCCAGTTCCTTAATCTCAGCTCAACCATAGCTGTTTAGAAACACCAAGTCTGCCTGAAGAAGAAAAATCTGGTGAACGTGTAAATGATTGGTGACCATCTGTAGTCAGTGCAGCTGCAGTACTGATGACAGCAAGAAGTCCACCCTCGTGAAAACACAAGGAAGAGTCAAGGGAATATGTCCAAATCCCAGTAATTGTCCATGGGAATAATCAGGAGGCTCTTACAGCAGGTCAACCACATATAGTCAAAGTGCCAAGTAAGAGTCCTGACCCACTTGCCTTCTTAATACTCATTTATGTTCCACTACGCCAAAGAAATCAAGTGAGGATCATGCAGGGAGTGTAATGGCACAAACTTGTCCAATTAAAGGGGAGATGCCAGCACATCCATAGCTGTTTCTGTGCATCCCATCCCAGGTAACTCCTTTGGAGTCCTCCAGCTTTGCTCTCCTGCATSAAAGCAGTAGGATTTCCTCCCTGTCTCGCGCATTGTTCAGGGACTATCCGGCCTCATTGCTGCGCCACTGAGCTTCATAAATCAGGCCCTTATGTTCGTTCCCCTTTYTGTCCCTGCTTTCATTCAAACAAGAATAAATTCATGCCCAGACATGAAAGGAAACATTTTGCCTGACCTCCCGGGGCTTCTCTTTTTTTTTTTTGTTATTGCTGTTGTTTTCTTTTGAACAAACTGAAAAGGAGGGAAAAAATCTTTTTTTTTTCAGATCAAAGTCATTTTTCTTTGAATTCTTGGGGCTTGCCAGCGAACCAGAAAATCCCCTGTGTGCCTCGCTTCAGTGTGGAGAATATGGGAAGGCACCACGGCTGCTGGGGGAAGCAGAGCACAAGAACTAGATAAGAAGGAAATATCCAGAGCTCCTCTTTGCTCATTATTTTCTTGGAAAACAAAGCATAAAGTGACCCAAATCAGCACCAAGTGCTGCTGACCAAAGCTGCCATTCATTGCTTCAATTCTCCCTGATTTTCTAGCAAGGCTTCCATGAGAAGCTCTTGGATCCTGAAAGGAGATGAATTCAGCCAGCCTTCACCAAAAAAAAGTACTTATTTTCTTACAAAATGC